GCAAGTGCCTTTGGAAGGAGCAGTCAGCGTCTGTATTAATTCAGCATTAGCCTTGGGAGCAATATCCCTGACAGAGCAGAACCTGACAAGAACATTTCTGCTCGTGTGAAATAAACAGAGTACAGGAACATTGCTGAAGCTCAGGGGTTGGGCATGTGCAGTGCAATGCAGCAACATGGCTGGTTTCCTGCTTTGCCAGGGAATTATAGAGAGGAGGGGGGGGGTGCACGAGGACAGACCGCACAGGGAGCACTATCCACGTTGTAGAGGCACTGAGGGTTCAGGGAGACATGGCCGATGAATCAGTAAAAGTAAGTGTGCAGCTGCAGCAAGTGAGCCAGGAGGCAGATGGGATATGGGTGCCTGTTGTAAAGGGAATGGAATAGAAAAGGAAGGATGTTTCTTTGCAATTGCACAAGGCAATGCCTTTTGGTCTCCATACCCAAAGAAAGAAATATTTGCCCCATTGCCCTCCACTGTCTGGAGTTTAGAAAAACAGTGGGCTCTTTCTATGCTTGTAACACAAAGTAGGACATGCCTATTTTCATTGCCAGATTATACCTCACAAACTTTGGGAGGCAATGGCCCAGTGGTATTATCGCTAGACTTTTAATCCAGAGACTCAGGTAATGTTCTGGAGACCTGGGTTCGAATCCCACCTCGATAGATAGTGGAATTTGAACACAACAAAGAGAATTAAGAATCTAAGGATCACCATGAATCCATTGTCATTTGTCAGGGAAAACCCCATCTGGTTCACTAATGCCCTTTAAGGAAGAAAACTGCCATCCTTACCTGGTCTGACTCTAGACCCACAGCAATGTGGTTGATTCTTAACTGACCTCTGGGCAATTAGGGATGAGTAATAAATGCTGCCCTAGTCAGTGATGCCCAATTCCATGAGTGAATAAAATAAACAGCCTGCCCCCACACCTTTGGATTCTGAATCTCTTTCATCCACCATCAGAATTGGTTTCTCTCCCGAGTTCAGTCAGCCTGCACATAAGGACGAATCTCTTCAGCCAGAGAGTGCGGAACCTGTGCAATTCTCTGCCACAGAAAGTGTTTGAGACCAAAACATCGAATGTTTTCATGAAGGGGTTAGATATAGTTCTTAGGGCTAAAGGGATCAAAAGGAGCGAGAGCAGGAAGAGGACTGAATTGGATGATCAGCTGTGATCGTATTGATGGAGTGGGCAGAGAGGGGGCAGCTGGGGTTCAGTGCAGAGAACTAAAAAATGCACTTTGGTCAGAGGACCATTGAAAGCCAACATAAAATAAAATTCTAAAGGGGGTGCAGGAGCAGAGGGAGTTGGGGGTACATGTGCACAGATCTTTGAAGGTGGCAGTACAAGGGGAGAGAGCAGTTAATAAAACAGAATAAAAACCGAAAGAACTGCGGACGCTGTAAATCAGGGACAAAAACAGAAGTTGCTGGAAAAGCTCAGCAGGTCTGGCAGCATCTGTGAAGGAAAAAACAGAGTTAATGTTTCGGGTCTGGTGACCCTTCCTCAGAAGCGAAACGTTAACTCTGTTTTCTCTTTCACTTTTGAGCTATTCCAGCAACTTCTGTTTTTGTGGCAGTTAGTAAAGCAGACTGTGTTCTCGGCTTTATTAATAGGGGCATAGAGTACACAAGCGAGGAGGGAATGTTAAACTTGTACAAGACACTTGTTAGACCTCAGCTGAGTATTGTGTACAGCTGTGGGCACACCACATTTTGGGAAAGATGGGAATGTGATGGAGAGAGTGCAGGAATGGTTCCGGGGGGATGGGAAACTTCAGCAATGAGGATAGATTGAAGAGGGCTGGTCTCTCTGGGATAAAAGGCTGAGAGGAAATCAGACAGAGCTTTCCAACATCTACAGTGGGCTGGACACAGTTCTTTCTTTTTAATCATTCAGGAGACCTGAGTGCTACTCGTTGGCCCAGTGTGTTTTGCTCATCTCTAATTGCCCAGAGGATCAGAGTCACCCACAGCAGACCCGATGTGATTGGCTGCAATGCCAGTAAGGGTCGATCCCTCAGGACAAGAATGGCATAGGGCTGGATGGCCACTGTCACAGCAATAGGAAAGCTACAGCTCGAAGGATGGCCATCGAAAGCCCATTGCCCAAGTGGATGAGGAACTCTGCTTCGAGTGCAGCAAGAACCCCACACCAGTTGGATGGACCCTCAATCACACTCCACCTGCACCACCTCTCGGAGACTACAGCGAGCTAATGTTACTTATACACTTAATGGTAAGGTCCTGGGGAGTGTTACTGAACAAAGAGACGTGGGAGGGCAGGTTCATAGTCCCTTAAAAGTGGGCTTGCAGGTAGACAGGACAGTGAAGAAGCCATTTGCCTTTATTGGTCAGTGCATTGAGTATAGGAGTTGGGAGGTCATATTGCGGCTGTACAGGACATTGTTAAGGCCACTTTTGGAATACTACATTCAGTTCTCATCTCCCTGCTATAGGAAGGATGTTGTGAAACTTGAAAGGATTCAGAAAAGATTTACAAAAATGTTGCCAGGGTCGGAGGGTTTGAGCTATTGGGAGGGGCTGGATAGGCTGGGGCTATTTTCCCTGGAGCGTCAGATTCTGAGGGGTGACCTTATAGAGATTTATAAAAGCATGAGGGGCATGGATAGGGTAAATAGACAAGGTCTTTTTTCCCCAAGGGTGGGGGAGTCCAAATCTAGAGGGGCATAGGTTTAAGGTGAGAGGGGGAAAGATTTAAAAGGGACCTAAGGGGCAACTTTTTCACGCAGAGGGTGGTGTGAATGGAACGAGCTGCCAGAGGAAGTGGTGGAGGCTGGTACAATTACAACATTTAAAAGGCATCTAGATGCGTAAATGAACAGGGAGGAGTTGGATGGATATGGGCCAAATGCTGGCAAATGGGGACTGGATGAATTTTGGATATCTGGTCAGCATGGACGAGATGGATCGAAGGGTCTGTTTCTGTGCTGTATGTCTCTATGACTCTGTGACTGTACTGTGCAGTGGCTGGAACATGCTGTATGACAGGAAAAGCATTTCTGTTGGCCAATACCACAAGACACTTCCTGTTCTCTGGTTTGACAGGAGGGAGGTAACAGCATGGAAAACCGTGCATTAAAAGGAGCCCTCTACACAACAAAGGAGGTGACATTATCCTTGTACCAGGATGATCCAAGTGACAGCTCACCACTAAGTTATTTTATGTCACTTAAACTAGGCTCGTAATATCAAAGGCCGAACATGTTGTCAGTTTTTATTAGCCTCCTTTTTCCTTCCGATCCTCAGGCACAGCAATTCAATCACTTTCATTCGAGGATTTGCATCATGGCTGGTGTATCCACATTCCCATCTTTATCCGACAATCCACCATTTCTCCTGCCCAACTAGAATTCATCTAGAAAATAAACACGGATGGAAATCACAGCGGGACAGGCAGCATCAACGGAGAGACAGGAGGTTAACATTTCGAGTTTAGATGACTCTTCATCAAAGATCTAGACTGGAACGTTAGCTTGCTCTCTCTCTCTTCCTCTCCATGGATGCTGCTCACTGTAATCTCCAGCATTTATTGTCTTCAAGACAGATTTCAGCATCTGCAGTTACTGCAGAATCCTCATTCAGTTCTGATGAAGGGTCACGGGACTCGAAACGTTAACTCTGTTTTTTCTCTCCACACCTACTGCTTGAACTGCTGAGTTTCTCTAACAATTTCTGCTCTTGTTTAAGAATCTGTTTGCCTCCATCTTCGGCAAATTTAACGACACCATCTCCACTGCTTTCTGTGACAGAGTTCCTCTGAGAGAAAACAAAATGCCTCTTCTCACCTTGTCATGACCATTCGCTTCCCTCACTCTTCTAGAACCCAGTGGAAACAAGCCCAATCTGTCCAACCTTTCCCCACAAAACAGCCCACTCATTCCAGCTCTCAATCTGGTAAACCTCCTCCTAACTGCCCCCAGTACATATATATCCTTCCATCAGTAAGGAGACCTAAACTACACACAGTATTCGAGATGTGGCCTCACCAATGCCCTGTACAACTGAAACATAACATGCCTACTTTTACATTCAATTCCCTCTGATAATAAAAGATAGTGCCCCATTCGCTTTTTAATCACTTGCTGCAGCTGTATACTAACTCTTTGTGGCTCCTGCACTATAATATCCAGATCCCTCTGCAACTCAGAATTCTGCTGCGATCCTCTGGTTAGATACCGGATGTTCCAATTT